CTCTGACCCTACCCCCTCTTGGGCTCGCTCTCTCTCTCTCTCTCTCTCTCTCACTCTCTCTCTCAAATAAATAAATAAAATCTTAAAAAAAAAAAGAAAGAAAGTTCATCTTAGGGACACCTGGGTGGCTCAGCTGGTTAAGTCTCTGCCTTCGGCTCAGGTCATGATCCTGGGGTCCTGGGATTGAATCCTGACTCAGGCTCCCTAGTCAGTGGGAAGTCTGTTTATCCCTCTCCCTCTACCCCCACTCATGTGCTTGCTCTCTCTCTTTCTCTCTCTCTCAAATAAATAAATAAAATCTAAAAAAAAAAAAAAGAGAAAAGAAAGAAATTTCACCTTGGCTTTCTCTAAACATCATGGAAATGGACAGAACCTCCAAGCCCTAGGAGGAGCTCTGACTAGACTCTAAGACTAGCATGAGTTATTAAGGAAGGCCAAAACTTTTTGTATCTGAGGGTCTGTTGGGCATTAGAAGTCTGTAAATCCATGCCCTAGGAAATTCTGTGATGCCTACAACATTCTAGTGTGGGCAGGCCTGGATGTGAGTAAGGCCTTAATAGGAGTCACATGGGTATTGGCCAACAAGTGGGGAAGTCAGTAGTTACTCATGGCAAACGTGGATTTTCTTAATTCCGGCATTTTTCTAGTGAAGACTTGCCCACCGATACAACTTGGCCCCTTTTTTAATGGAGTGCTTTGCCTGGCTTTTCTTTGACAGAAGAAGCCAAGCTGGGCCTCATTGTCCAGGCATCCTAGGACCCCTTTTTTACCAAAGATCTATGTGATAAGATGATTGTTTTACTAATTGGGGTTGATGACAGGGAGGATTGAAACCTTGGCTATACCAGATGGATGGGCATCTCATTCTTGAATGGTTTTATAGACAGAGTCTAAGAGTAAAACAGTGGAGAAAAACATCCCCACAGTAATCAACTTTCTTCCAGCCTCTCAAGAAAGGTTCATAGTCAAGATAGAAAAGACCTTTTCCACTTCTCCTTTTTCAAAGCCACTCCAGAAAAACCTCATTTGGACAGAGTCCAAGTGTAAAAGTCCTGTTGTGCAGTTTCTGGAGGAGAGGCCATGTGGAATAGTGGAGGAAACCCAGACCGGGAGTCTAAGGACTTGGTCTCTAGTCCAGGCCTTGCTGCCTATGCAATACGTGACTTTGGTCAAGTCTCCTCACCTCTCTAAAACTCAGTCTTAGCGAAGGTAAATAGGAATGTTAATACCCACCCTGTGGGCCTAAGAAAGTATTTCCTAGAATCAAATAAAGTAACAAACGTGAACACTTTGTAAATCACCATTGAAGGTGGTACGGTGGAAGGAAGGAATCGGATCTGTATTCCAGTTCCTTAATAAGCATCGTCTCATAATAAGCATCATCTTAGTAAAGCTGACTATTCCCTGGGAAAAGTTTGAGGCTACGACAGAAGATTTAGGTTCTGATCCAGTTACTACTAACTTACTTTGTGGTTTAGGCAAAGAACTTCCTCTCTGTGTCCCGGTTTCTTCATCCATAAAACAGGGATAATAATACCTCCCTCATTTTTTCCCATTTGGAAAACTGAAATAATAGTTGCCCTATTTTCTTGTCCTATAAGTTGGAGATGGTAGGGGCACCTGGGTGGCTCAGCTGGTTAAGCATCTGACTTTGGCTCAAGTCACAATCTCAGGGTCCTGGGATCGAGCCCCGCGTTGGGCTCCTCGCCCCCTGGGGAGTCTGTTTGTCCCTCTGCTCCTCTTCCCCATCTCCCCCCGACCCGGCTCATACTCTCTCTCTCTCAAATAAAAAAAAAAAATCTTTTAAAAAAATTGGAGATGGTAATAATAGCCAGATCACTCTTCAGCAGTGAAATAAGTGGGTTGTTTTATTCATTTGCCTGCAAAACATACCTGATATACTTCACAGGATTTAAGGTTCCAAAAAAACACATATATTGCTCTGTGGAGATAAGTTCTAGATGGATGTCTGACATCATTCAGTAAACATTTATGGAGTGTCTACTGTGTGACACTTTACAGGTGAAGGGAAGCAATAGAGCCCCTGCTGTCATGAATCTTATAGTCCAGTGGGAGAGAAAAATATTAACCAAATAATCACACTAAGATTGTAGATAGTAGGCATTACTTTCGAGTAAATGTAATGTGAATTTTCTTTCGGCTATGTGTGACATTCCTCCCCCTGCAGAAGCTCCAGAGGCTGCTAAAGTGGAAGAAATGTTATCTGATTCTGGTTTTCTAGGTAGCGGCTTCCTAGAATCAGAGAGACACATTCCTCTCCTTCCTGTTCTCTAGCACTCTGTTTTGGGTAGCATAATTCTTTTTTTTTTTTCAGCTTTTATCTTTGTAATTTTAGTTTGGTCAAAATTAAGATTGTAGGGTGAGGGGTAGAATCCAGTTTTTATAAAATGAAGATTCTTGTCCCAATGTCAACCTATTACAAACCTCACATCACTCCAGCAGCTCTATGGAAGGACATATCGAGAATAAGGGGAGGCAGTAAATGATCAGACCCTGCAAATGGCTGTTGGTGTTGCACATCCCATCTTCCAGCAGCTGCCTCCACCCGGAATGAGGAAAGGGACACACACTCTGGAAAGGCCAGAACAAAAGCTGGAGAACATAAGTGCTTTGTGATCCCCACTGTGGTATTTGTTTTCCAAGAATCCTTAGTGGAACACTGACACTTCATTCCTGAGAAGACAGGATCTCTTCAATAATACTCACCCTTACTTCCTCCCTGTGACAGCCATTCCTGGCTCTGAGACCCACCTACCTGGTCCCCCACCACCTCCCTTTTCAGTACCTTGCAGACCAAAGTCAAACCTTGTTTTTCTAACCCCTTGAACTAGTTTTATAATCTAGGCGTGTTACTCTTTTCGTGGCTGCCTCTGAAATGCCCTACAAATTACTTTTCTGATAAATTCCTGCTAGACAAGGAGTTTACTATCACCTTTTGCACTGTTAGCAACCCTGTCTCCAGTTCTCAGCTTCTGGCACTTGGTATCTTCCAGGGACAGCAGCCCATTTCGCTTGGCAAGTTAAGGGTCACCTGCCAGGGTAACTGTATCCTGAGACCTGGCACACTACCAGAAGGCCTCCTCGTCTCCACTAGCCCAGCCTTCACGCAAAGCAGACATGGAGACTGGTGGAGGAGAGAGGGGGGCTGAAAGATAGCCTCTTGTTCCTATCACAGGACTTTAAATAAATGTACGAGAAAAGGAAAAGCCTTTAAGAACTGGTGGGGCCCAGAATTGCATTTTTCTCTCTCTCTTTGCCTGATGTTTAGATCACAAAGTTGAACATGACGGATTGTTTCTTCTTTTAGCTTCATCTCTGTAGGCCGCCCAGTTCTGTGGGATAGACTATCTGCATAGAAGGAAGGCAAGTTTGAGACAGATGTGCTTCCTTTCCAGCTGCATCCAGCTGCCGATTCTATATGTCAGTCTCACGGTTGCTGCTCTTCTACCTGCCTAGACCCCTCCCCTTTCCCATTCATCATCGCATGCTGCAGTTTTTTAGTGTGAAAAGCTTATTCTGTATCCCAGAAGAATAAAATGTATTGTTTTTAAAGAATGTGAATATTCTCTTCTTGTCCCTTTGACCGAAATAACTGATGCATGGCCTGGGATTAAAAAATGAATTTTGATTTAGAAGTGAAAGTTTCAGGACTGGATTGAGGTTGAGTTATGTTTGAGATCTGAAAGTCATTTTTGAAAGTTGAGTGTAAAATCCTATACTCTGCATCTTGTTCAGCCCAGATCTGGTTCCAGACTCCTTAAGAGAGGCAGTGGGAATTTGAGATGTCCTCAGAACACTGTCAAACCAAGCTGGCTTCATACTCCCATTCGCATTTCTACCTGCATCCACTTAGTCTCTGCTTCTTCCCTCAGACTTATAGTAGAACAGCTGTGTGGGGCTTAAGGAGAGACCTTTCAAAGCACCTTTGCGGTGCACCCTGATCACCACCTTGAATCACAAGAAGTAGAGGAAAGCTTGGGAAGGAGCGTGTCAGGAGCTGCCCCCACCCTCTTACCCCTCCCCTGCCCAACAGACACACCCCAATAGCCAACCATTCAGTCCTTGCTGCCAGCCTCATCTCTCAGGAGAAAGCCAGCCTCTTGCACACAGAAGCAGAAATAGATTAGTGGAAAGCGCGCCGGATTAAGCATCAGGAGATCAACTTCTAGATCCAATTTTACCCATCAGTAGCCGTGGAATTTGGAAAAGGCACTTAACCCCTCTGTGTCTTAGCCTCTTTGCAAAACAGAGAGATAAATACCTGTTCTTCCTCCTCTTCCTGTACTTCATAAGGCTGTTGTGAGGGTCACATGAAACAATGGAGGGGGACGACGTTTCAAGAATATAGTGCTAAATCTTTGCACATATTGCACTTCTACAAACCACCTTGTAGGACTGTTTTTATAGGGTTATTTCATGTTCCTCACTAAGGGTGGGGCTGTCCTGTCTGGAGTGAAAGCCAGCCTCCAGGAGTACTATCGATGCTCATAGGTCTTGAAAATCCCCAGTCATGGGGTATGACCACAATCTGTCCAAAATGTATTGCCCTTAGGCTCACTTTTGAAACTTTCTCAGATTGTCTCTGAGAACAGCCTGCTTTTCCAGTCCTGCCATTTCCAGTTAGTCTTAAGATCTTTGTTACCTCGGGTGGACCATGGTATAGCCCAGTCAGAGGGTCTTGAGGTTCAGTACCCAGGCTACCACTTACCACCATGTGGACTTGGGCAATGCACTTGGTATCACTAAGACTCAGTTTCCTCTTCTGTAAAATGGGAGAAATGATATCTGACTCTGTAGGGGTGTCCTGAGGACTAAAGGAGACATGTAAATTATTACTAGACCTACCTGCCTGAAGGTGATTTATGCATTCCAAAGGCATTTTAGAATCAAACCAGAGATGAGACCACTTCTGAGAATGCCAGTCCTGTCAAATGTGCTGACTCCACTGTCTCCCCCGGCAACCTTGGTGCCTCATGCAGGGAACATCATTGGCTCTGGAATCTTCGTCTCGCCGAAAGGTGTGCTGGAGAACGCCGGCTCTGTGGGCCTCGCTCTCATTGTCTGGATTGTGACTGGTCTCATCACAGCTGTGGGAGCCCTGTGCTACGCTGAGCTTGGGGTCACCATCCCCAAATCTGGAGGTGATTACTCCTACGTCAAGGACATCTTTGGAGGACTGGCTGGGTAAGAGGATCTGTGGAGGCCTGGGTGGTCTAGAAGCCAAGACCAGTGGTTTCCAGTGTGCCAAGGAGAGCTAGAGAATAGGATTCCTCTTTTGCCTCCCTGTCATGGTTGTTAGTATACCTCTGTGTCCCCTTGATTCTCCTGAGGGTGTTAGAAGAACCAGGTTATAGTTTTGACCTCTCTGTTGATCTCAGTGGGCAAGATTCTGTGGGTGACAGCAAACAGAACTGTACGACAACTCTGATCATAGACTGTCAGAGAAAGCATATCACAAAGCAAAGCCCTCTTATCCTGACAAATTAGAGTGACCACCTAAGAAACGGGGTACCCTCTTCTCACATGACCAAGGATGATATCTTCCTGCAGGGCAGGGCCCTGATCTTGAGTTTCCTCAGCGTCTGTGGCCCTGATACTGAGGAGCTGAGCCCTCATGGAGGGGCCAAGGGTGTGGAGGGCACTTCCCCTTCCCAACCCCACTCAGTGCTGAGCTTGGCAGTTGCTTAAGCGGCCACACCCTAAGCATGTCCTGGCTGTCAGAATTCCGGGGTTGCCAATTTTCTTTTCCACCACTGGATGCTGGAGGTCGGAGCATAGAGAAGAGATGGTAAAAGGAGAGGGGAGAGAGAAGGAATGCCAAGATGTGTGTTCATACTAGTAGACACTTTGCCCCTCATCATCAAACCACTTTATTGTCATTGCGGAGGGCCGGCTGTCTGGTTAAGCAGGGGCTGGGCTCCTCAGCATCCCAGAAAACAAAAAGGAAACTCACCCCTTTAGCCCACCCACCTCTCCTAATGCTGCCCAGTGACATGCCCAGGCTTCCCTCCATGACTCGTGAATCCCTGCCATGCATGTTGGCGGGGGTGGGGGTCTCTGCAGCTGTCTTGGGTCAAGTTCTGTCCTGTTCCCTCTTCAGGTTCCTGAGGCTGTGGATTGCGGTGCTGGTGATCTACCCCACCAACCAGGCTGTTATCGCCCTCACCTTCTCCAACTATGTGCTGCAGCCGCTCTTCCCCACCTGCTTCCCCCCAGAGTCTGGCCTTCGACTCCTGGCTGCCATCTGCTTATGTAAGTGCCATCTGGGCCTTGCTCTCAGGATGGCCTCTTTCAGCCTTCCTGGCGGTCCACATCTCCGATTCTCCTGCCTCTCCCTCTTTCGTTCCTTCCCTCCTTTATTTTTTCCCCCATTACTTCCCTACATGGGTGCTTTGGAGGAATTGATTCTAAATAATTAGCTGGTGTTAAAAAAAAAGAAGAAGAAATGTAGGTAGCTCAGAGGCACAGTGATTTTCACCAGCAAGGCTCGTTACATCACACACAGCACTTTCATCTATACTATCTGATCTGAGCCTCGTGACAAATCCATGAGGTAAGCAGGGCCAGTATTATCACTTTCCTAGAGCAGATAAGGAAAGGAGCCAGGCAAGTGACATACCCAAGGTGGCAGGCCCTGAGTGGAGCCTAGGTCTCCTGATTCCTTCTCTTTCCAGCCCGTACATACACCATACACTGTGCTGGAGGCTCCTGATGCTCGCAGGAAGATTTTTCTGGCTTCATCCACCTCTACCTCAGTCTGCCAGCTCACATCTTAAAACTCTTTGGGAGGAGAGTGTAAAGCTGTGAGTTGGGAGAAAATAATGCATTGTCTACGGTCCCCACGCCCTTGATATGTTTCCTGCCTACCTGGGGAGAAAAGCTATATAAACAGGCTCTGTGGTAAGGATTCAACTGCAGTAAAAATTCAGAGAAGGGGAAAGATGTCTGTGAGCTGGAATAGGTTAGAGATTTATTGTAGAGAAGTTCTGCAACTCGTATTTTTAGGAATTCTCAGGGATCACAATGGATTGGGGTATTTTATATCTTTTAACCAAAAACTAATTTTTTTTTTTGGATTTATTTCTTTATTTTGGGGCGGGGAGGGGCAGAGGGAATGGCTCACAAGCGGACTCCCTGCTGAGCAGGGAGCCCCGACAAGGGGCTGGATCCCAGGACCCTGAGATCATGACCTGAGCCGAAATCAAGAGTCAGACACTTAACCGACTGAGCCCTCCGGATGCCCCCCCACAAAACTCATTTCTAAAGTAAATATTTGGATTTTTTTCAGAAGCTCCACTTTTGGAGTTAACATGATCCCTGCCCTACCATACCTTTCAACACACATACACTTAGCTGAGAGCAGTGACCATCCAGGCCACACCCTTTCCTAGGTCTTGACACTTTCCTTCTGTCATGCTGGTGGGAAAGGGAGGGAGGGGTTCACTTGCCCACCCCAAAGTCTCTCACAGGGCAGCCAGCTGGGATCCAAGGAGTAGTCTCCTTGGCAAGTGTGCCCTCTTTGACAGTGATATTCAGCTCTGGGATAGACCCCCACCATCCAGACAGGTGGTACTATGGGGTCAAGATACTTGTTTGGGCTGTATTCCTTGTGCTTGGTCAGGCCTGCTTATGGCCCTGGAGGCAAAGGAATGTGGGCTCCAGAACCAGGTTGCCTGAGGCTGTATCTCTGCACAACTTTCTAATTGTGGCAAGTGCTTGGCAAAGTTCCACACCCCACCCCACTGTGAGATGGGGGTTGTGATCCTGCCTGCACAGGAGGTCATGGTTGCAAGGATTGCATGAGACAACACATGTTCTTAGCACAGGGTCGTGTAGTCACTGAGGATGGTCACTGAGGGTAGTCGCTCAGTCCTTCCTTGCTAGCTGGATCCAGAGCTGGGAGGGAGGGGTGTGGGGAGGGGCATGGGAATGCGGAAGAGTTGCTGTTTCTGCCATAAGCCAGGTTAATAGGGGTGGGAAGGCGGACACCATAAATGCTGGCCACTGCTATTTCAGTGTCTTGTGCACGCAGACTCGGCTTCCTTTTTCCTGCTGATACTGCTGAAGTGTCTCAGACAAGAGGCCACCCTTACTCTCCAATGAGAAATTGAGAACCCTAAGACTGGCCACCAAGGAGAGAAACCAGGCCATAGGGTAGAGTTCCTTGGACAGCTGACCCTACAACTTCCTTTGCCTTCCCCCAACCTGCCGACGGTAGGTGACCCCTATGCAAAGACGCTCTACAGTAATATAGCCCCATAGATGTCCCCTCAGGACAGGAGATTAGGACTGTCTTCTAGAAAGGCAGGTTGTACACTGTCCCCTTCACAGCCCATCTCTCACCTTGACACTGCTTGCACCAAGCAAAGGAGGAATTTAGAAACTCTGATGACAACATGACAAAGTTCTCTTCTCTCCCAATTCCTGCCATCCAAAGTTCAATAGAGCTTATCTGGTTTGTCCTCCGCCTCCTAAGTAGAACTGCAAGGAGATTATCTCGAACTTAACGTTGGTCAATCTTGTCCTCCAAAGACAGGAATTTTTCAGTGTCCTTGAGATAGGTATTCAAGTACTTTTTCACCTTCGCAAGGAAAAAATCTTCTTAAACACAAACTTATTTCTCCTTATTCCTTTTGGGGGGAATGGAAAACAGCTCCTCACCTCAGCCCATGTGCCACCCCCTTTCTCCCAGATGTGAAGGCCATGTGGAGCCCAGGACCCCTCTCCCTGCAGGGGTGTATGTGTGGATATAGCCACACATTCACCTTTTCTCACCAAATACTCCCAACTGCTTTGAGTCTGTGCAAAGAAAGTTTCTGTTTTCTGGTTTGTTGAATTACTTTTTTGGAACCTACTTTCACAGGCCCCTCAAATCATCTCTTAAGTCCCCTCAAATCATCACAGTGAAGAGGCGCCTGGGTGGCACGGTCTGTTAAGCGTCTGCCTTCGGCTCAGGTCATGATCCCAGGGTCCTGGCATGGAGCCCCTCATTGGACTCCCTGCTCAATGGGGAGCCCGCTTTTCCTTCTCCCTTTGCCCCTCCTCACCAGCCCCCCCACTCATGCTCTATCTCTCTCACTCTCAGATAAACAAATAAAAATCTTAAAAAAAAAAAAAGGTATCCTGTGAAATGGGAACCAAACAGGAAGGCTTGATGGGTGCTACTTTCCTTAAATGCTGTTATCTTTTTTCCCAGCCACCCTGTCCTCTTAGCAGGTGCCAGGCCAGCTGGCTGTGTGAAAATAAGCCTGGTGTTCTGAGGCAGGAGAGCCAAGAGTGGCCCAGTCCAGCTATATTTTTGAGAGAATCGGTGTTGAGCTTGGGCTCTTCTGAATGTATATAAACCAGAAGCTCTGCTTTCTGCTGTGTCATTTTGGCACGCCGAGGACAGGCTCGACCCACTGTGGGATGAGAGTTTTTGAGGGAGAGGCCACCCTCTATGGCGAGGTCACTGGTGTGTCATGGAGGGAGCTGGAGGACAGGACCAGGAGCCCAGCAGGGAGAGCCTTGTGGCAAAGCCCCTGCCTGGTGTTGGCTGTGGGAGGGAGGAGATGAGGTCAAGTCTGGTTCTGTGGTGGGGCCAGAATACATCGAATACATTGGATGAAAAATGGTGGTGGGACAGCCAGATGGGGGTGGAGAGGTAGAGAGAACCTGCTGGAACTGGCTTGCCTGCAAGGAGCCTTGGGGGAGGGAGAAGGAACTGCAGATTTGGATCTGCTTATGCAACTGCAGCTGCCAGTTTGAGTTATTCTATTATGTAGGTCAAAGCTGATTATTCACTGCTGAGTCAGCAGAATATCCCTAGCCACCAGGCAGTAAAAAAAAGAAAATATTTTACATTTTAATTAAATGAAAAGCTTTCTCCCTTCTCCAGAACAAGCATATTAGTGGGAGGAGGGACTTAGGAAAGGGGAATAGGAGGTATTGAAACTTGGTTTTGGTGCCTTCTTCTGTGATGTGCTTGGAGTGTTTCTCTTTTCTTTCTTTCCCTTTTTACTACTTTGTAAATAAATGACTATGTTCTCTAGGTAAGAGATTCAAGTAATATATAAAGCGAGCCGACTGTGAAAGCTTCCCCTTATCTTCACCCCTCTCCCCTGCCCAGTAACCATGCTAACAGTGGATAGGTATCCTTCCAGTTCTAAATAAAGTGCATCCCTCCATGTGTGTGTCTGGGCAGATAGACATCATATGGATAGGTTATTTCTGCAGCTTACTGTTTTGTCATTTAGCTATATCTCTTGGCTGCTTCCTGAGTTTCTAGTTATAAACAAAGTGGTCCCAGTGACACTGAAGGAGCGTCAGGTGTCCTGGGGTCCCCCATTTGTGCTTCTTGCTCCCTTACTCTAGGTTTTCCTTCAGGATCTTTTTTGTCTCCCTGCCCTTGGGACTGGGTCACCTTTCCCTCAGGCAGCTCCTGGCCTCCTTCCTCTCTTTGGGGTCTGGGGTCATGTCCAGGATCTGAAGTAGAATTTTTTTCTTCTCGTTCAAGTATCCTCTTTTCCCTGAATGCCTGTACTAAAGAAGCTCCTTCTTTCTCTCCCCGAGGGGAAAAGAATGCCCTACATGCATTTCACAAGTGAAAAAAATGCTTCTTATCTTGTTTTCTGTCTTTCTACTTAGATTCCTAAGAGGCTGTTTTTTTAGGGCTTCAGATTTCTCCTTCTTCTTTTTCTCCTTCTTCTTTGTCTCCTTCTTTTTCTTCTTCTCCTTTGAGCAGTTTAGAAGGGAAAGGACTTTCCTGTATATATATATATAATTTTTAACCCTGAGTTGCTCTGCAATTCCTCTATGGAAGGTTCCCAGGTCCTTGATGCAGGATGCTTTGATCGATAAACTGTGTGTTGTTTTGCAAGTCTCTTACAAATTAATCCCTTGACATCAGAGGGTTCTAGTCTTTCCTAACTTCTAAGTCCCTTAATCTCGGTTCATTTTACTTTGAGGTTTCACATTCTGTAGCCCCAAATTTATCACCATGCACTAAACCTGTTGCCTCAGATGCCTGAGCAGCAGTGCCTTCTTGCCCTCCTTAGCCCCCAGAGTTCTTGGGGTGTCTCATAGTCCTTGTATATATGAATCCAGACAAACACAGACGACCTATATTTGATTCCCATACATCCAAGTCATCTTCCTTCTCTGTACATCTTCTAGCTAGCCAGCATTTAAAATCTAAATACAGTTGACCCTTGAACAATGCAGTGGTTAGGTATGCTGACTCCCTGCACAATTGAAAATTCACGTGTAACTTT